TGTTATAATCATAAGCGCGGTGGTCCGCGGAATCCTACATATTGAGCGCGGTGGTCCGCGGAATCCTGCATGTTATAATAATAAGCGCGGTGGTCCGCGGAATCCTACATGGTGAGCGCGGTGGTCCGCGGAATCCTGCATGTTATAATAATTTGACATGTTGAGCGCGGTGTGTCACGAAGTCCTGCATGTTCAGCTTGGTGGTCTGCAGAGTCCTGCCTGTTGAGCGCGGTGGTCCGCGGAGTCCTGCGTGGTGTCGATGCACTGTTGGCGGTGGTACGGGATAGCTTAGCACCTTTCCAACTTCCAAGGTTTAGAGCTTTGTAATACTCTATTATTTTTGTTCATGTGCTCCTTGTCTTCCTGAGTAAGTGGAACCTCAATATCCCCAGATTTCCTTTCACGTGGATGGCTTCTAGTCGTAAAATCCTAAACCGTATAAACCCTAAACCATAATTCCTAAACCCTGCACCCTAACCCTAAACCCTAAACCCTAAACCCTAAACCCTAAACCCTAAATCCCGAACCCTAAACCCTAAACCCCAGGTTGCTTTCCAGTTCTACGCCTGCCTCATGTTCGGCCTCCTTTGTACCAGCTCCGAGGCTTGAAGTTTGAGGTTTCGCGGCTTGGGTTTGGGGTTTAGGTTTTGGGGTCTAGGGGTTTTAGGGTTTAGGAGTTTAGGGTTTGGGTGTATATAGGGGTTTTAGGCTTTCCGGGTTTCGTGCTTGAGGTTTCGGGATGTGTTGAGACTTCCATTTGGGAAGCCAAGGCAGGTCGCAATGCGAAAGCACGATGCCTCAACACTCCAAGTTCTAACCGTTCCAAACTTGGAAATCCCTAAACGCTAAACCCTAAACCCTAATGTCACATACTGAAAATTATGAGCCTTGCAACGCAGACCTAAACCCTAAACCCTAAAAAAAAACCCTAAGCCCTAAACCCTAAACCCCAGCTACAAACCCCAAGCCCAACATCCCGAGCTAGAAACTCCCTGGCCCCACAGCCCCCCCCATCTGCACCTGGCATTCCAAAGCTTCATGCTAGAGGGGGCCTTAATAGTTGCCATTAATTGCCTATACTAGTTTGGGGGGTTCCCTATGATACTTCTAGAGTCTAGCATAGTATACCCCAAAACCATATTATAGTCATTAAGCGCCCTAAACCCCTAAACCCTAAACCCTAACCCCTCAACCCTGAACCCTAAACCCCTAAACCCTATACCCTTAAACCCTAAGGCCTAAACCCTAAACCCTAAACCCTACATGAATCCTGTGCAGTCTTGTGCCCCACAGGTCGAAAGGAGGCCTACATGCTCAAACTATTGCGGTTAGGGTTTAGGGTTCAGGGGTTTAGGGTATAGGGGTTAGGGTTTAGGGCGGCGGGGGAGGGAGGTTGTCAAGCAATGGTGATGTGCAAGGACCATCAAGCATTATGTTTCGTTCCTTTTTCAATCCCTACGTAGGAACACTGACCCCAAAAGCTCGAAAAAGACCCCTAAACGCAGAAAGCCCCAAGCACCCTAAAGAACCTTTAGCTCGATGAGCACCCACTCTCAAACCTCAAAATGCCGCTGAGCACCATGAGCACTTGGAGGATCATGGGACTTAGTAAGTAAGGTTCCAAGTCCCGCATTGGGGTTATACGTATAGTTACCTTAGTTATAACCCTACTTACAGGGTCCCATGATCCTTTGAGCACTCAACCGCAAGACAGCAAGGCTTTCTTCGCCACTCCGAGATGGTCGTCGCACGATCCGACGGCTCCCAGCATGGCTCCATCGAGGAGTCCCTTGGCCGGGCATTTCATCAGCGGGCTGACTGTGATCCTGGTTTGGGATACGACACATACAACCTGCCCCTACGTGCAGCAAAGACAGCGGTCGAGGATAATTCGTAATTGAAGACAGCTGTCGGCTTTGTATTGCGGTTCCTTGGACAGGGCCTACTTGTTCCTCAGAGCCAGCTCCTGAGCACTTCAACACCTTCTGTGCGTTGCAGGGGTTCCCTTGGCGTTACGGGACTCATTAGTTTGTTTTCGTAGCCACAACTGTTACATGTTTCCTGCGGAAGATGAACGCGCATCGAAAGCACCCCGAGGTACATGAGACCAGTGGCCTATGCCTCCGTGCAAGGCGTTTATGCCTTTGTCTTCATTGGGGTGCTGCGAACTGTTTTTGACATCACGGTGCCTGGGATGCAGAGAGGATTTCCAAGGAGGTGTGTCATCCCGGAGCCTTCTAGGCAGTATTATTAGGGAGACCCCTTAAAGGGTACCCTTTCTGAACCTTACTTCTGGCTCTCTTAAAAGGGACCTTTATTGAGAGGGTCTATATCCCCAAGGGTCCCCCTAATCCTAACTCCTACCTCCCCCTTGTCCTAACAGCCGAGCTTGAGCCTAGAAACCCTAAGCCCTAAACCCTATAACCCCCTAAGCCACCCCCTGATAGTTTCAGGTGACCTACTTGTCTGAAATGCCGGAGTACCACGAGAAGGCCTGTGTAAGAACGTCAACTGTTCCGCAGTCGGATCAAGGCTCTCGCGCTGGCTCTCTCTGTACCTTTGTATATGTGTATACGTATATGCCTGTGCCTAATGTATGTTGAATGCGGATGTGGATGTGGATGTGCTGCGTATATACATATATAGATATGTGTGTGTGTGTGTATGTGTGTGTATGTATATATGCATGTATGTGTGAACGTACGTATGTATGTATGTATGTATGTATGTATGTATGTATGTATGTATGCGTGCCTGCACGTATGCATGGACCCATGGATGCATGCATACATGAATGTGCCCTCCACTCAAAATCTCTACTTGCCAAGACATCCGACCAGACATCCTTAAACCCTCAACCCTAAACCCAAAGCGCAAACCCAAAATCCCCAAAGCCTAAACCCTAAAAACCCCTGAACCCTAAACCCATAACTACAAACCCTCAAGCGCCTGGCCAGGCAGAGCTGATTCAGAATCAGGTGCTCAGCAAGGCGGGCGTCTTAAGCGATCCCAGCCCTGCAGCCCTACATGATCCCCACATCTCCAAGCCTCGGAAACCTCGCCAGCTTGAGCGAGTCACGTGTCCCCCTAAACCCAAAACCCTAAACCCTAAACCCTATCCACCACGTTCGGCACCTATGATCAAATCCTCCAAACGTTGCAGCTCGCCGAGTTTTGCGTTCACTTGAGCAGGGCATTCCTAGCCATGGCCATGACCTCCCAAACCCCTAAGCTACGATTCATGAATGCTGCACCCCGAACCCTTGAATCCTAAGCGCCCGGCGCCTAGGCCCTAAACCTCTACTTTATGGACATTGCAGCCTTCGGCGAGAGCTTAATTAACAAAGTACCCCCAGGTTGAACTAAGCAATCCCATACATGCTTCTAAGACCCAGACCTCGATGCTCAGCTCGACAAGCCCAGGTGGCCACCATTTTCAGAGTCTTGGCTTGAGAAGTTACGAAAGGTTCAACTTTACTGCACAGGGTTGGGACCTTCGGCGGTTTTTGCTTGTTTCGGCATTTGGGTTCCGGGTTCTCTGGTTCTTTTTGTCGGGGTCTCGTGTCACTCACAATGTTGTTTGCAGCTGAACGTCACATGCCAGGATTGTGCTCATGATAATCATAATACTAATAGTAATAGTAATAGTCATAGTAATAATAATAATAATAATAATAATAATAATACTAGTACTAGTAATCATAGTAATAATGGCAGGTGCTATCTTCCAAGGAAGCCAGAGGTATATGCTGCTGCAGTTTCCTTTTGAGTGCTGTCGGGCTGTGTTGCGAATCCGGTCGTGGTTTGGTGATGAGACCACCATGTGCAATAATATGTGCCTGTCTTAATCCCGTATCCGTCCTTTTCTTCACAGACACTGCGCACCTAGGCTTCGTGACGCTGCTCTGCATGATCAACATGGTCCTGATTAGCTGCATGGCAGGATCCGGGCTGGCTGGGTGCTTTCGTGGGGTTTCTTCAATCCAGGAGCCAAGCACACAGGGTTCCGGGGTCCATTCTAATCCGGCCGTGGCCCTTTCGGAGTCGTAGAGAGACCCTCAAACCGGAAGCACTGAACCCTAGCCCTTGAGCCTTGAACCTTGAACATCTAAACCCTAAACCCTAAACCCTAAACCCTAAACCCTAAACCCTAAGCTCTTATAAACCCTGAACCTTCAACCGTAAGCTCCTGAGCCCAAACCCTGAGACCGAGAAAGCCCTGAGTCGTGAAGCCTCCGAAAGATGCCGCTTTAGGGTTTAGGGTTTAG